CTTCCTCACAAGCAGACTCACCATTTAGCAGCAGCAATGAAAAATGCTCCGAAAACAACCTTATCAAATGCAGATGCTTCTTTCAGATGTGTGTTTACGGTATATATGCCCAAACACAGAAAGAATATAAATCCAATCAGATGAGTCCAGATATTACATGTTTCGTTATGGAGGTAGAAGATTGATTGTAGACATGCTCGTTTGGTAGTCAGAAAGCGATAGCCCGAGCGAATGTACCTGTAAAAAGTAGCAAAAAGGTCAGTAAAATTCAAAACGTCATTTTTAGCCGTCGCGTAGACTGAGCGCAAGTCTAAAGTAAATTTTGCGATTTACTAATATAAAAGTACTCCTTTAGTCGGCTTGGATAAAATAATAAGCATAGAATGTCACAATAGCAAGACATTTTAGAGTTAATTTTCGTGCATGTCTTACATTCTAATACTATATTTTTATACTTTAACTAGATTGTCTGCTCTTTTTATTGTAACTACACGCCTCCATTCTCATATACTGCATACTTTATATTCTGAATGACACAATCTTACTACGGCTTCCAACTCATCTCTACTCACGTTCCTTCTATCCATTCTACTTACGGATTCTCTTGCCATTCTTTCGGCAGCTCGTCAAAGCTTAATAACCTAGATGCGCCCAACTTTGCTGCCCGAGTAATAGCGTTATATGTCCCCACCATGTGCTGGTCTACGCATTTCAAGATGCCGGTTGAGTCAAGCTCCTCTATTTCACGTAGAGTTTCGAGAACTGTGGGGGAATCTTTTTGGGTATAACTCAAATCTTCTTTCGAGTGCATTTTGCAGTACAGAAGTGGAGTAAGAGAGCGAGCTATAGAAGATGCTGGGAAGGTTCTAAAGAAGTATGTTGTACGTATGTAACAGTGCGGAACGCGTTTTGAGAATGAGTGGCCAATAGGCTGTCTATGTACAGACCGAAGGGACTGCTGTTGTTTATTCTGTGTCTAAGATTGTTCTATTCTTGAATTAAAGTTAGATAAATAGATATTTGCTGGTTCGTTCA